AGCAGGGTCAGGCTCTCAAAAAGACAATTAGCACCATTACTATGGGAAGAGAGCTGCAATGTGAGCTCACTTTGTAATTAGACAGCTGAGAATCCATGCTGGGGATGGGGATAATGTTACCAAGAGCTCATGGTTTATTTGGCTGAGGTAATGCATCCTTGAGAGGCAGAGCCACAGGAAAACCATCTTCCCATGTTCTGCTCCCAGCTCCGGACTTGTGTAGGCATTACCTACTTAAAAACTGCAGGAGCCCTTCTGTAAATCATTACCAAATGTGCATTTGTGACCTTTGCTGTGCACCCCTGTCACAGATTAACCTTTCTCACTGCGGCAGGTTGTTATATCATTACAGCATATCTAAAATAGGGCTAAGCTGAGTTTATTGCAACGCAGATACTCCATGTGGAAAGATAAGGCTGTGCCTGTGTTGTGCTTGGGTTGGGGAGGCAGTTGACTTGTCCATGTGTGCTCTCTCCAGCTCTGTGTGTATGTTTGCATGTGGCTGCCTTTAACCGACTAACATCTGGGTTGTTTCAGGCCAGACGTTTCCCCACGCCACTGCCGGCAGCGCAGCGGAAGTTTGGAATCCCAAACCCACCTGCTCTCCGAGACTCCTGCTGACAAAGCAGCCTTCACCCTCTCCAAGTCCCAGCGAAGCAGCAGCACAGAGATCCTCGATGATGGATCATCCTACACTAGCCAGTCAAGTGCAGAGTATTACTGTGTGACACCCACTCCCAATCCATATTACACTACTCAGACACTCGACAACAGGACCAGGGGGCGAAGACGGTCCAAGAAACACAATATTTCTGCTGCCAGCTCTGGCAGTATGCCCAACCTTGCCCATAAGGATATCCGCAATGGCGTCTACCACAAAAATCAGGAGCAACCTTCCCCTAATTACTATATTTCTGGATATTCCCCATACACCGAATCTGACGTTTATTACAACGGATATGTTTACGAGAGTGACACAGAGGGACAGTACAGTGTCAACCCTTCCTATCGCTCATCAGCACACTACGGATACGACCGTTACAGGGAACTCAGATCTTACCATGAGGACGAGGTGGACAGAGTACCACACAACCCATACGCAACCCTACGGCTCCCGAGGAAGCAAGTTGCTAAAACAGAGCATATAACCAAAAACATTCACAAGGCCTTAGTAGCAGAGCATCTCCGTGGTTGGTACCAACGTGCCTCCAGCCAGAAGGAGCAGGGTCACAGCCTGCAGGCAGGCTTTGAGTCTGACAGAGGATCTCAGAGGAGTTTGGGCTTTGCTGGGCTGCAGACGCCGTGCTCACCGAGCAGTCGGGTGTCATCTTTCTCTTCAGGTAACGTCTGATTTCATCTATGCTGAGTATTTTTGCAAATTGCTGCTGTGCATCCAATTCTGCCTCCCTCCCCTGCCTTGGTGAGGTCAGCAGAGTGGAAGCCAGGCTAGAGCTCTCTCCTGAAAGGTAGATGAGGAACTGAACAGGATCTTGTTTTCCCATGCTTGGGAAGAAAGTCTTTCTTGTTGCATTTTCCTAATCCAGAACCATTTGAGTTTCAAACAGGTGTATTTACCAGCAAGAAGCCACATGCAACATGCCATGTAAATGCAATAGCTGTGGTGGCTTCCAAAGCACAGTCCAATGAACATCACTGAATGGGTCAGAAAGTCCTTTCAGAGAGATTCCCTAGCTCCAGAGCACCACCTGTACAGTGCTTTACTCCCTACAGGGCTTGCAAATTATGTTTTGTTTTTTACATTATCTGTCTGCGTGTCCTGCAAAAACCCATAGAGGTTGCTGATGAGAATTGTCTCATTTGCCTCAGCTGATTTTGCTGGAGAAAGATCAAATTTGCTGTTTTTTTTATAATTCCAGCATCTTCTGCAAACACTTCTGGGAACTGGAGAAACCCACTTGCACTGGGACCTTCGGACTATGACACATTGTCTCATTCCTCCTATGCCAGCTGTTACAGGAATGTTTACGGCAACCTTCCTTTGCAAAGCAGGTGAGTAGAGTATGTCAAGATTATATGCACTTCCTCCTGCGTTTCACAGGCTCTTAAAACTTCTGAGAAAATCAGCTTGACTTCAAAGAGCCAGGATGAAGAGTACTTGTAAAATTGATGTTGTGAGAGCAGGTTTTCTCCATGTGGAGTAGATCAGTTGCACCACCACTAACTGTACCAACACTCAAGACGAGCAGTCAGAGTGAAGGATGAACTCATTTGTTGCACAGCCTTTTCCTCTGGCTGGTGCTGGAAGATTATAGAATCATTAAGGCTGGAAAAGAATCTTCAAGTCCATCTTTGACCGAATACCACCATACCCACTGAACTATATTGTGAAGTGCCACATATCATTCTTTGAACACTTCCAGGGATGGTGACTCCACTACTGCCCTGGGCAGCCTGTTCTGATGCTTAACAACGTTTTCAGTTAAGAAATCTTTCTTGATAACCAACCTGAATCTCTCCTGGTGCAACTTGAGGCCATTTCCCCTTGTCCTATCAAGTTCTTGCACTCAGTGACAGCTACAATGCTTGGAGCATTGTTGACAGCAAAGCACCCACTGAGTCCAGTCCCTCTCAGCCCCCTGTGTTTAGGGGGGTCTCTCCTGCACCCCATCACCAGTCTGGCAGGACACAGTCCTGTTGGATTTCTAAATCTGTAGTGTTTGTGCTGATAAACTTTTGGAAAAACAAGGAAAGGAAACACCTCTCTTCAGCCTCATGTATGAATGCTCATTCAAAGACGATACCAAATGCATCTCCCTTGGCAGAGCTGGACCCAGGAACTGGGGGAATGTGCTGCTGCTTGCAAAGACACCCCACCCCTGCTTGTGGGAGATCTTCTGAGGGTTGTGGAGAGCCCAGGGTCTGCTTGGTCTTTGCAGGAATTCCTGCAACTCTCTTGCTGCTTGTACTTGGTGGCTTGGGTCTCTTCCGCGCGCTATCATGCGCTGTTAGCAGTGAGGACAGAGACCTCCTGCCCTGGGCAATGACTCTGCCCCCACAAGTGCCATCACTTTTCAGTGCACTTATGCTGAGTGTATTCAGACGTAGTAAGTACCCCACGTGTGCTTTGTGGGTTGCAGTTTGTGCTTGCTGCCAGACTGACTTGTGTGAAAATACTGAATTTTTAATTTTGTTTGTTTTAGAAGAAATGAAAGTGTGAGAGAATATATAAAAGCTGCTGCTAGATCCTTTTTTTTCTAAGCTAAATGCCATGGGCTGTTTCATTACAGTGATTTAAAATATCTACAGCAACAGTGTGTAAAAATACAGTTTCTGCTAATTTCTTAATTTCCTGTGATTGAGCTTTGAAAATTCTGCTTATATTGGCAGCTTTATCTAAATGAGCTTTATTAGCTATTAATTTTCCATATTCTGAGTCAGTTGTGTGATTGTTCATCTGTTTTATTTTCTGCTTTAATGTGATTATGGCAATCAATAGGCTCGACAGTTGCTTTAATGTGATTATGGCAATCAATACACTCGACAGTCGTAACAGTGTTCCAGGCCAGGTTGGATGAAGCTTGGAGCAACCTGGGTTAGGGGAAGGTGTCCCTGCCCAGGGCAGAGGGTTGGAATCATAAAATCATAGAATCAACCGGGTTGGAAAAGACCTCAGAGATCATTGAGTCCAACCCTACCGTGGTTACTAGACCATGGCACTACATGCCACATCCAGTCTCCTGTTGAAAACCTCCCTTCCAACCCAAGCCACTCTGTGATTCTATGATGGGTTTGAGCAGCTGAGACCCCTGTTGCACACAATTGTACTAATTAAACATGAAAACTGGGTTTGTGTTTGCAGTCACACTGGGGTGAACTGCCAGTAACCAGCATTCCTTTGAGCCTGAGGGAGGTGTGTGAATTTGGAGGTGTGGGGAAGACACTCAGCTCTGCCTCATCCCTGATACCGTGTTTGTCTTGCAGAACATACACAGAGCCGAGCCAGTTGGGTGGTGATGATGAGGAGCAGTTGGAAGATGACTTGCCCAGCAACGAGCAGAGATTGTTCTGGCATGAGGACTCCAAGCCTGGGACGCTGGTGTAGCCCAGCTGCAGCCCTGCATTCCTACACTGCGTGCCTTGCACAAAACGCTGTGACTCCGAGGCGGAGCTCGGGTGGAACTTCCAAACCGAACAAAAAAGAGGAAGCAGTTTTGCTGGGAAAGATGGAAAATCATCAGCGTTAAGAGGGACTCTAGCAACAAACTGACCAAGTCTTACCACGAATGGCGTTTCTTTGCGAATCCGGATAGCCCACACGAGCCAGGGCAAACCACAGTTCATCTATGACTAGATGCAGCACTTGGTTGAAGTATTTATATTTAGCAAGCACTTTTTGGGAAGATTGGAAGGTGTTGAAGGCAAACCTCAGAGGAAAAAAATAAAAGAAATGTGAAAAGAAGACTCTTATGGAAAAACCAGGAATTCTAGGAGCACAATTCTGATGTCTGGAAGAAGAAGGAATGAAAATTTATTCTGCCATGGCTTATGATGACCTGGAAGGACTTTCATAGGCTTATGAAGGATAAATACTGTGTGTGTGAGTGAGGCAAAGGGTGACTTAATCAGTATTGGAACATTACTTGAAGGAAGGATGGGGGGGTTTATAATGGAGGTTTGAATGAGTTTACCCAATTTTTGATGTGTTGTCAAGAGTGTTGGTTAGCACCACAGGAAAGTTCTGGAAAGAAAAGAATTTGCTGACACAATAGGTCGTGTAAAACTACAGGCGGTTGTGAACTTTGGAAACAGACACAGTAAACTTTGAACTCTCTTTGCCATGATAAAGTATAATTAACAACGACCCATTTAATGACCTTTCCATGGTACAACTTTACTGTGTGGAGGAGTTGGCAAATTTTCACAGTGGCTGCACGGTGACCCCTGTTCATCAGGTGATGATTACCTGTTGCTCTGCCACAGTGGGTGAAGGATCCACAGTGGGGAGCTCCAGTCATCACACAGGGACAAATTTGGTAGAGATGGCCAGTATTTTAAGGTGGATACAAACACAAACAGCCAAGTGGGTGCCTTAAAATGAGGGGCATTAGGATTGTACCACGACTCACTGCCAGGTGCGTTGCAAAGTCACTAAGTGACAGAACAGCATTTTCACAAAACCATTGGTGTAGGAAAGCAAAAAGTGTGACTGCAGTCTTGATTTCAGAGGGATAAACCTACCTCACATCATCCATCTGTAGGAACAAATTGGCATGGGTTATCCTGGGTGATTCCTGACGACTCGTCTGCGTGTGGTAAAATGTCTCTTGTTTCTCAGCTGTACTGTGCTTCAGGATTCCAGAAATGGTGCTCTTTTGTTCTTTTATACAAAGGATTAGTTACTCCTTGTTCATATTGTGAATAGAAAAGTTTCTGATAAACTTTTTTGACGTTTTTTTACCAATATTCCAGAGCATGTAATATATACAGAAGGACACACTTGTTAAGCTGGTACTTAGTCGTTTGTATTATTAGAGTCGCGATTTGGAACTAAACGAACAAAAAAAACCCCAACAAAATAAAAAGTAACTTATTTCCTTGGTTTTGCATATTTGTATAGCTGCCTAGAAATGCCAGAGCTCTTTTTGCTTATTCTTTTACTACTTCTGAATTTTTTAGACCTATTATTTTGTATAGGTCAATAAACTAAAAAGTGTGCTACCAAAACCACTTCAGCATTGCTCCTATTTCTACTTGAGTGCTTGGAAAAGTGCAGTGTGTGTTATTTCAGGGCTTTCAAGGAAAGCACCAGTCTGATTTCTTTTGGCCTGTGGTGGTAGGTTGGGTGCAAAGGGTCAGGGGCCTCAGCTGGGGAAAGCTCAGACTCTCCCAAAACCATTAGGATGGTCAGGCACTGGAATAGGTTGCCTAGGGAGGTGGTGGAGTCACCATCCCTAGAAATGTTTAAGAGGCATCTGGGTCTGGTGCTGAAAGATATGCTGTAGGGTTTTGGGGTTTCAGCAGAGTGACAGGTTAACAGTTGGACTTGGTGGTCTTGAAGGTCTCTTCCAACCTTGATGCTTCTATGAAAACACATCTGCAAGTCTGGGTTTCTGCCCTGAAGGAGCTGAGCTGGACTCACTCAGCAACCCTGTGGGAGGGCCACTATCCCTGGACCTGCTGCCCAGCCCCAGCCTGGCAGTGATACACAAACAGAGGTGACCTCATGTTTCTGGAAATACTTCCTGCTTGTCTATCCTTGCACCTTAAAATTGCTCCAGCCACTCCCATTTGGAACATGGCTCTTGGGGTTTGTGTTGCTCACCTGCTGGGTCCTCTTTGGAGTTTGTGCCCTCTGAGACACTCACCTTTCTGTAAGAGTGACTTGGCTTTTAGATGTACAACTGCTGCTGCACCCTGGTCACCCAGCAGTTGAGATTATTCAGCCTCACTCTTCTCTCTTCAGAGTTGTTTGTCATTGCCTACTTTTTGTGACATCCATAAACTTCACAACCAGCACTGAACTTTATTTCCAGGTTTCTGGTGAATATGGGTATTAAAAGAACTTGCAGCCATGCCTACTAAAAATACCTCCATGTCGTCATAACTTTTGCATTTCTCTAAGTAAGTTTTAAGGTTTATCTGTTTGCAAATTCTTTATTCTTTGACTCACCTGTTGCTATAAACCATTAATGCTTTGAGCAGGAAGCTGAGTCATGCAAAGTCCAGTTCCTTACCCAAAGCTCATGGTATCAGTGCAGACTGCTGGTTATTTATCAACACTCTCAAAGCTTGTGATTTAAAAAGGAAATGAGGTGTTCAACAAGATCTTGTTAGCATTCCTTTGTTTTAGTGCTGTGGCCATTGAGTTTTGTATTGGCTTTTCCATCAGTGTTCAGGATTCAGCTCAGCCCAATAGATCCGTGCTGGCACAGCTCTGGCACTTGGCCTGACCTCCCAGCTTGCTGGAACAGGACCAGGATGGTTCTGCATGATGTTGTTGAGAAGATGGGAATTTGAGGTGGGTTTGAACTGAGGATGGTTTGCTCTATTTGGGGGGTATTGGGTGTAAAACCTCTAGGGCCAGAGTTCAGATCCTGTTGCATTTTCCAGTAAGCAAGAGCTAAACTGCAGCAGAGCTGCAAATTGAAGCGCAGTGGTGGCAGCTGTAGCACTTGTGCCCCTCTTTGCCCTTCTCCACATGCCCAGCCCTGCAAGAGTTGTGTTCTTAGGAGCTTTAGTGAAGAGTGGAGGTACAAAGTGAAGAAGGAGGTCCAGAAGAGGAAACAATAAGATCCAACTTCTTTCTCAGACACTGCCTGTGGCAGGTGATGGATGGCAGAACGTCCAGAGGGACCTCCTGCCCATTGCCAGCAAGGGAGCTGGTGATGCTGCACAGATTATGCAGCACCTGATTTTTGCCAGTTGTTCCCCAGGACCTTTAACTTTGCCTTTTGCAGACCTCCAGCTTGCTTTGCTGCATTTCTGAAGTGATGTTTTGATGCACATGTCGGACTGTTCAGAGACCAGGTCTGTATAATGCAGCTGAAGAGGTAATAAAGACATAGTTGTAATCATTATCTTATTTGTTCACACCTGAAATACAAATTGCCCGTGCTTTGTTTGAATTCTTACCTCATCTGTGTGTTCTGCTGTTTAAGCACAGCTTTCCTCTCCAGGATAACTGAGGACATCTAGTGCCTGACCAGGAGTGTTGAAGAGAAAAACTTTCCTGCCTCTTGTGCTTCTCTGGAATCTTTCCTGCCCCTTCCAGTGTGAAGAAATATCTAGAAATTCTTATTTGGTATGATCACAAAAAAGCCAATAGGTCAGCAAGGTGAAACACCAGACCCACTGGGTTGGGTTCAGTTTTACAAATATACCACTCTTCAGAAGGTAGAACATGCTGCTGATGGGAGTGTGGAGGAGAAACAAAACCTCACTGAAATCCACACGTAATGGAGCATTTCCAAGTGCTTTTAGTTGATGGATGAAGACGAAAACCCAGTCCTTGCCAGGACTCCTTAAAAAGGCATCAGGGCACTGTTCTAAAATAAGCCATGCCTGATGTTTTTAATTGCTGTCTGCTTTTTCTCTTCTGTTTTGAACAGAAATACTCCAAGATGTGGGAGGAAAAACACCAGTGGGAGGCTGGTTCAGACATTCCTCCGGTGCAGGGACTGGGAGGGACGAGCCTTAAGCCAGGAACATCCTCCCCAAGCACAAGTAAATCTTTAAAGATCACAAATTTTAAAGTTCACCTGAATATACTTATGTAAAACATTTTGGCCAAGGTGACTCAATATGTGACTCTTGGAGGTTTCTGCTGACTTATCATTCATGATCTTGGACTTGTTCAGCTTAAGTGTGAGTAACACAGCAGCAATGTTTGTGGCTCCTGGGTGGGTGAGAAGCTTCCACCATGGTCCAGCCTGTCCCAAAATATTTGTATGAAATCCTAGCAAGACTGAAGGTTTGCTCCATCTCCTGGGCATTGAGATCAGTGCAGGAAGCCTGGGAAGAAGCTCTCATCACTGTGCTTGCCTGGATAAATTAGCACTACTCCAAAGAATATCTCTGCATTCTACACCATTCTTCCATCTCCTTTGTGCTTTTCTAGCATACTTAAGAAGTTTCTAAAGTAGAAAGCTGAGAGTTTCAGCTATAGCAGAGCCTCACACAAATAGTGACATCCCTCACAGCAAATAGGAGCAAATTAAATTGTGCTAATTTTATTTAATGTTCATTAATGTAAGTCTAATTATCTGGTTTTCATGTGTTTTTTTTTTCCTAGGGATCTTGTGCTAGGGGACAAACTCCATGCCTTCAGGAATGTTTTATCTGGTTGGTAACAGAAACCTTCTGCAGTGCTTTACAGATTATTTCTGTCACTTTTTGAAGCTGTTAGAGAGAAATATGGCAGGGAGGAGGAAAAAAAAAATCATTTTGCCAGTGTGTGAAGGCATAGGGAGTTCTGTGTGCTGTTTTCTCATCATGCTACACTGGACACTGCATGACATCTCCCTGCCATGTCCCCTGCTTTTGTCCTTGTTCTTGTGCTGAAGGCACTAGGCTGCTGGCACCAACTGCACAGAGAGCCCAGTGCCAATCCTCAGATCAGTCAGGGATAATCTGACTGATCATCAAGGGAGGCAATGA